GGGAAGTTCAGTGGGTGGCAGTATTTGTAATTGGGGTCGGGTGTTTGCGTGCAGTGCTGGGAGGTGGGGGGGGAAGGTGGGGGGGAAGAGGGCTAGTAGTGAGGTGGGCTGGGTTGGTTGGGTGCCCAGCCCGACGACTCTGTAGCCGGAGGACCATCCCGGGGAGTTAGGGCTGCTGCCACGGCGCAGCCGGCTTCTGTGACCACCAGCGTCCTGGCGCGCGTTCCCCCCACCCCCACTCCTCACCGAGGTGGGTCCTCCTCAGCCCTGGCAGAGCAGCCCTGCAGCCCAAGGACAGAGGCGAGCTGGGAAGCTGCAGGGCCCCTGGCCATGGGGAGGGTCTGGGAGGAATCACCCCTTGCCTTAGGGTGGGTGTCTTCACAGCCAGCCAGACTTGAGGCACTTTGCATGTGAAGGACTTTATGTTTCCTGAAGAGGCTGAGCGGGTGCAGGGCATTTGCGCAGGTCCTCGGGTCTCAGGCTCACCGCGCATCATGGCCCTGTGGAGTGCCACGATTTTCCCTCAGTCACCCTCTGTCGCTGCAAGAAAGACATTTCCGTTCTCTACCTAGTATGTGTGTCCACATATGCATATAAAGAACATACATTTAGATAATATATGCGCGCGTGTTTGTGGTTCAGACGATGTTGTGTATATTGCCTGGTTTTTGTAAAGATGAACGTTTTAGAGCACTGTTAGGGGTACTGATACATAAAGAGGGAGTTACAGACGTTTCCCATTTATCCCTGTCCCCACCCACTGCTACCCTCTGGAATTATCGACGCAGCCACAGAGGGGCGCATTTGTTATCACCCATGAACTTACACTGACCGTCATGATCACCCAAAGGGCTCCCGCGTGGCCTTGTCGATTGCATGGCTTTGGACCAATGGATACGGACGCCTTCCATCATGACCGTATCACAGTGAGGACTGTCACTGCCTGAAAGTTCCCCTGTGCTCTGCCTGTTCCCTCTCCCCCCATGGTCCCCGGCAACCACATGAGTCCTCTTCCCGTCTCCGTACTCTCGCCTCTACAGACTGTCACACGGTTGGGATCACGCAGTATGGAGCCTTCTCAGGTGGGCTCTTTCGCTTAGGCGCACGCATTCAAGGTTCCTCCATGCCTCTTCCTGGCTTGGTGGCTCATTCCCGTAGGGCGATGAACCGTTTCCCACGGTCTGCACGCTCCCACAGTTCATGCATTCACCTACTGCAGGACATCTTGCTTGCATCTACGTTTTGGCAGCTGTGAGTCAATCTGCTCTCAACATCCATGTGTAGGATTTTGTGTGGATGTAGGTTTTCAGCTCCTTTGGGTGAATACAACGTGGGCTGCAACATACAGTAAGAGTGCACCTACTTTGGGCAAATCCGTCTTCCCAGTGGCTCAACCATTGTG